TTCACCTGGTGCCTTTTTTTTTGCGTTACCGTCTTCCTTTCGTTTCACCTCTGGCCTATCTTTTGCGTTACCGTCTTCCTTTCGTTTCACCTCTGGCCTTTCTTTTGCGTTCACGTCTTCCTTTCGTTTCACCTGGTGCCTTTTTTTTGCGTTACCGGTTTCCTTTCGTTCCACCTCTGGCCTTCCTTTTGCGTTACCGTCTTCCTTTCGTTTCACCTCTGGTCTTTCTTTTGCGTTAACCTCTTCCTTTCGTTTCACCTCTGGCCTTTCTTTTGCGTTACTGCCTTCCTTTCGTTTCACCTCTGGTCTTCTTTTTGCGTTACCGCCTTCCTTTCGTTTCACCTGGTGCCTTTTTTTGCGTTACTGTCTTCCTTTCGTTTCACCTCTGGTCTTTTTTTGCGTTAACGTCTTCCTTTCGTTTCACCTCTGGCCTTTCTTTCGCGTTACCGCTTTCCTTTCGTTTCACCTCTGGTCTTTCTTTGCGTTACCGGTTTCCTTTCGTTTCACCTCTGGTCTTTCTTTTGCGTTAACGTCTTCCTTTCGTTTCACCTGGTGCCTTTCTTTTGCGTTACCGCCTTCCTTTCGTTTCACCTCTGGTCTTTTTTTTTGCGTTACCGGTTTCCTTTCGTTTCACCTCTGGTCTTTCTTTGCGTTACCGCTTTCCTTTCGTTTCACCTCTGGCCTTTCTTTTGCGTTACCGCCTTCCTTTCGTTTCACCTCTGTCTTTTTTTTTGCGTTACCGGTTTCCTTTCGTTTCACCTCTGGCCTTTCTTTCGCGTTACCGCTTTCCTTTCGTTTCACCTCTGGTCTTTCTTTGCGTTACCGTCTTCCTTTCGTTTCACCTCTGGCCTTTCTTTTGCGTTAACGTCTTCCTTTCGTTTCACCTCTGGCCTTTCTTTTGCGTTACCGCCTTCCTTTCGTTTCACCTCTGGTCTTTTTTTTTGCGTTACCGGTTTCCTTTCGTTTCACCTCTGGTCTTTCTTTTGCGTTAACGTCTTCTTTTCGTTTCACCTCTGGCCTTTCTTTTGCGTTACCGCCTTCCTTTCGTTTCACCTCTGGTCTTTTTTTTTGCGTTACCGGTTTCCTTTCGTTTCACCTCTGGTCTTTCTTTGCGTTACCGCTTTCCTTTCGTTTCACCTCTGGCCTTTCTTTTGCGTTACCGCCTTCCTTTCGTTTCACCTCTGGTCTTTTTTTTTGCGTTACCGCCTTCCTTTCGTTTCACCTCTGGTCTTTTTTTTTGCGTTACTGTCTTCCTTTCGTTTCACCTCTGGCCTTTCTTTTGCGTTACTGTCGTCCTTTCGTTTCACCTCTGGCCTTCCTTTTGCGTTAACGTCTTCCTTTCGTTTCACCTCTGGTCTTTCTTTTGCGTTAACGTCTTCCTTTCGTTTCACCTCTGGCCTCCTTTTGCGTTACTGCCTTCCTTTAGATGTTGCAAGGCAAACTTGAAAAAAATCCTGTTTGCAGGAAAATTGATTTTTTTCAAGTTTTGAGGAACGTGGCCCTCCGGACAGGGGTTTGCAATCCAAGCAGCCACTTGCGGACACTTGCAGCCACTTGCTCCGACAGCTGCCTGCGGCCACTCGCAGCCACTCGCGGCCACTTGCGGCCACTCGAGTGGCTGCAAGTGGCTGCAAGTGGCTGCAAGTGGCTGCCATGCAGTTGTTCTAGAGACTCCTAGCGGCCACTTGCGGCCACTTGCGGCCACTCGAGTGGCTGCAAGTGGCTGCCATGCAGTTGTTCTAGAGACTCCTAGCGGCCACTTGCGGCCCCCTAGCGGCCACTTGCGGCCACTTGCGGCCACTTGCGGCCACTCGAGTGGCTGCAAGTGGCTGCAAGTGGCTGCAAGCGTCTGCGAGTGGCTGCGAGTGGCTGCGAGTGGCTGCAAGTGGCTGCCAGCACTTGTTCTAGAGACCCCCAGCGGCCACTTGCGGCCACTTGCGGCCACTCGAGTGGCTGCGAGTGGCTGCGAGTGGCTGCGAGTGGCTGCAAGTGGCTGCTTTTTTGAAATTCAAATAGCGCGCGTTTTGCAACCTCAATGATATATAGGTTACTATTGGGAGCTAAGCTTCTCACTTTTGGGGTATTCATTTTTTTCATTTTTTTCATTTTTTGAATTTGAAAAGATGAAGACATGGAATTAAAAAAATATTATAGAAACTAAGGAAAAAAAAATATATATTTAAGAATTGATGGTGTTATGACACAATATTAATAATGTAAGGATCAGAAAAATAACATAAAAGATAAAAGTGAAAAAATGATGGATTAAAAAGAAACGCCTATTAAAAAAAAAAAATGAATTCAGAAAATTCAAAAAAAGAATAACAAAATTAAATTCCCAGAAAGAGAGCCAGACTTAGTTTAGCAGTAGTTTTTTTTCAAATACACAGTTTAGTATTCGGTTTTTTTTTGAATACATAGTTTAGTATTGAGTTTTTTCCATATACTGTATAGATTACTATTGGGAGCCCAGCTTCTCACTTTTGGGGTATTCATGTTTTCAATTTTTTATAATTTTTGAATTCAGAAAATTCAAAAAAATCAAAAAAATATGCATTCATTTTTTTGATTTTTTTGAATTTCGAAAAAAACAAACAAAATATTCAAACAATTAGCCAAAAACGAAAATATTTTCAACATTGTGTTCTTTTTTGAATTTAAAAAAAACAAAATATTCAAAATATAATGAACTTCTCCCAAAAGTCTCGCTGAACCTCTTTTTTGGTGATTTCATTATTTTTTTAAATATTTTGAAGATTTGGAATTTTTTGAATTTCAAAATATTCAAAATATTCAAAAAATTTAGCCAATACAAAAATATTTTGAATATTTTGATTTTTTTGAATTTCAAAAAATTCAAAATATTCAAAAAAAAATAGCCAATACAAAAATATTTTGAATATTTTGAATTTTTTGAATTTCAAAAATTTCAAAATATTCAAAAAAATAGCCAATACAAAAATATTTTGAATTTCAGAATATTCAAAATATTCAAAAAATTTAGCCAATACAAAAATATTTTGATTTTTTCGAATTTTTTCAATTTCAAAATATTCAATATATTCAAAATATTCAAAATATAATGAACTTCTCCCAAAAGTCTCTCTGAACCTCTTTTTTGGTGATTCCATTATTTTTTAAATATTTTGAATATTTTGAATATTTTGATTTTTTTGAATTTCAAAAAATTCAAAATATTCAAAAAAAAATAGCCAATACAAAAATATTTTGAATATTTTGATTTTTTTGAATTTCAAAATATTCAGAATATTCAAAAAATTTAGCCAATACAAAAATATTTTGAATATTTTGAATTTTTTGAATTTCAAAATATTCAAAATATTAAAAATATAATGAACTTCTCCCAAAAGTCTCTCTGAACCTCTTTTTTGGTGATTTCATTATTTTTTTAATATTTTGAATATTTTGAATATTTTGAATTTTTTGAATTTCAAAATATTCAAAATATTCAAAAAATTTAGCCAATACAAAAATATTTTGAATATTTTGAATTTTTTGAATTTCAAAAAATTCAAAATATTCAAAAAAATTAGCCAATACAAAAATATTTTGAATATTTTGAATTTTTTGAATTTCAAAATATTCAAAAAATTTAGCCAATACAAAAATATTTTGAATATTTTGATTTTTTTGAATTTCAAAATATTCAAAATATTCAAAAAATTTAGCCAATACAAAAATATTTTGAATATTTTGAATTTTTTGAATTTCAAAAAATTCAAAATATTCAAAAAAATTAGCCAATACAAAAATATTTTGAATATTTTGAATTTTTTGAATTTCAAAAAATTCAAAATATTCAAAAAATTTAGCCAATACAAAAATATTTTGAATATTTTGATTTTTTTGAATTTCAAAATATTCAAAATATTCAAAAACTTTAGCCAATACAAAAATATTTTGAATATATTGAATTTTTTGAATTTCAAAATATTCAAAATATTCAAAAAATTTAGCCAATACAAAAATATTTTGAATATTTTGAATTTCAAAATATTCAAGATATTCAAAAAATTTAGCCAATACAAAAATATTTTGAATTTTTTGAATTTCACAATATTGAAAATCTTCAATATATTCAAAATATTCAAAATATAATGAACTTCTCGCAAAAGTCTCTCTGAACCTCTTTTTTGGTGATTTCATTATTTTTTAAAAATATTTTGAATATTTTGAATTTTTTGAATTTCAAAATATTCAAAAAAATTAGCCAATACAAAAATCTTTTGAATATTTTGAATTTTTTGAATTTCAAAATATTCAAAATATTCAAAAAATTTAGCCAATACAAAAATATTTTGAATTTTTTGAATTTCAAAATATTCAAAATATTCAAAAAATTTAGCCAATACAAAAATATTTTGAATATTTTGAATTTTTTGAACTTCAAAAAATTCAAAATATTCAAAAAATTTAGCCAATACAAAAATCTTTTGAATATTTTGAATTTTTTGAATTTCAAAATATTCAAAATATTCAAAAAATTTAGCCAATACAAAAATATTTTGAATATTTTGAATTTTTTGATTTTTTTGAATTTCAAAATATTCAAAATATTCAAAATATTCAAAAAATATAATGAACTTCTCCCAAAAGTCTTTCTGAACCTCTTTTTGGCGTCTGGGAGATTGCTTTCAATTTGAAATGGAATCAAATAGTCAACGGTCAAATAGTACATGAAGGTCCATCGTACATATATATATATATCTGGTTGGTGGTTTCAATCCCTCTGAAAAATATTAGTCAGTTGGGATGAGTATTCCCAATATATGGAAAAATAAAAAATGTTCCGAACCACCAAACAGTATATTAATAATTATTTATATCATGTACATACTACACATGTTACAAAAACAGTGTTGGCATATCTTCTCCGATGATTTTGAACTGCCGCAGAAGAACAGTCTGACAGAGGCTTTTCAGAGGGCCGGACAGTCTGAAACCAGCGACACTTTCTGTGGGCGCCGTCAAAGAATAGGGGACACCCAGTCATATCGGAGTTTTGGATGTAGGGTTTGATACTCTAGAGACTTGCACACCAGTGGTTGCACCAAACCTCAGCTTGCCATGGAACAAATAAATCTGGAACTTGCCGGGTGTTTTGATGAACCTCAGCTTGGTATAGCCATGAAACAAACTTCTGGCCCAACAGTATGCTCCCCTACTGCTTACATTCATAATTGCAAAACATAAATACTATGCCAGTCATCCACGGGAAAAAAAACAATCTCCAGATATCCATGCCAGAAGTTTTGTGGTTCAAAGAAGCAGCTGTTGGTCTATATGCATCTATATGGCCATATGTGATGGTACCGTACCACCCCTATGTCATGACTTTAACATATTGAACACCCCTGTCACCTGTCAATTGCTATTCCATTAGATGCCACGTAAAACTCGACTGGTTCTATATTTCCATGTATGGCTCAACAATATATGAATCAAATTTAACTGTTCACCAACCCTTCTCAAGGTCTACCTAGTATCGATACACACGGCTTAGCATAGACACTAGTACACTTCAAGAAATAATGCGTGAGTTTAAGAGCTTTTCCATGAACATGAACCAAAACAACGGCCCAGAAAAAACACACAAATCAAACTGACGCAACACCTCTCTCCCAACATTCATGATCCCATTTCTTTTTTTTCAAATTATTACACAGATTGTTGGCCAAAAAAAACCACCCGTGAACCTACCAGGGTAGCCGCAACGCCTGGGTCCTCGCACTCCAGGGTGGCCTCCAAATACGCCTTGCCCAAAGGACCATCGCCACCTAAGGTCCCGTGGGTCCCATTGGGAAACTTTCCGCGCGATCGCTGGAGGTTTTATCGCTGGGAAAATGGTACAAACATATGCACAAATGCGGGATGTTCTCCTTGTTTGATCAACTCTATTTTTTCCTATCCACGTCTCATTAAGAACGGTTTGGATTGGTATCATAAAAGATGAAAACCAGAAACCATGGACTTACCCACCAAATATTATATGGCTGTTGCCTGCATTTTTTTTTCCTTCAACCAATTCTTGGACGCACACATTTGGACCGCTGACCAACCCCTGTGTGACCAGACATGTTCTTCAACTTGGGCCTGTCGATGTCCCTGGTTGGGTTATTTTGTTTACCGTTTAATAGGTATATATTAGTATACCATATAATAAAACCAAGACCGTTCAAAACGATCCAAAACTGTCCAAAACTGTCCAAACCCATCCAAAAACTCCTAAACATGACTTATCCAAAGAAATCCAAAGGTTGAGGCAAAAGACGGGAAAACCTGCTACCCATGTGGTGCCAAAATAAGGATTCCGACACCCCACGATGGTCCCAAAGCCGCCAAACAATGCTAGTATTCGTTAGCCATGTGTAAGCTAACATAGATATCATAGATGTGGGAAACCCATAGCTTATCCCAGTGAAATTTTCTCCAAATGTAAGGTTTTCCACATCCAGACGAGTTTGCAGGGCAATATTTCCATTCTTTGTTGATATGAACGTCCGTTGATGAAATGTCCATGTATTCAGGGGGGGGTGAAAAACCACCCACCCATTTCGGTGACGATCCACTCGAGCTACAAAATCCCAGACGTGACGTTGGAGGGGTCCATGACCCTCTTCAACAATTGCCAAATACTGTAAATATGAATATAATGTATATATATATATATAATTATATATATATATGAATATCCTACTTGATAGTTTCCATCCCGCTGAACCATATTATTATATCCCTATGAACATACACGGGAGGGGTTCCTGCAAGCCATTTTATAGACATAAAATGGTGTTCACTATAAAATGACTAGACACTGCTTATAAAATAAGTGGCCCCAACCCAAATGAAAACACTATATTTTGAGGGGCCTGACCCCAGAACACCTGGAAATTACTTTTAAAATCTCTATAAAATGACTGGTTACCTTTACAAATGGTCAAGGCGCAAGTCAACAGATTTCAGCACCTCACTTAGAATCAAACCATGCTGCCATTCCTTCATTTTGATTTTGCCATTCCTTCATTTTGTTTCCAATGCCGCCCAGTGCCAACCCTGGCCTTTCAATGGGCAATTTTGGAATAGTGTGTGCTACTTGTCCTTAAACCTTCAACCCACCATGAAATAGGTGATTGAGCCAGCATCTGCCATCCTTTTGTATTCCTGGATTTTGCTTCCAATGCCTCCAGATGCAAGCCCTGGCCTCTCAATGGGCTATTTTGGAACAGCGTGGGCTACTTGTATGATTTCCAAGTGCTGCCACTATAAAATGGCTGGCCTCAACCTTTCAACCCACCATGAAGTTGGTGATTGAGCCAGCATCTGCCATCCTTTTGCATTCCTTGATGCCAGCCCTGGCGTTTCAATGGGCCATTTTGGAATAGTGTGTGGCTACTTGTATGATTTCCAAGTGCTGCCACTATAAAATGGCTGGCCTCAACCTTTCAACCCACCATGAAATTGGTGATTGAGCCAGCATCTGCCATCCTTTTGCATTCCTTGATGCCAGCCCTGGCGTTTCAATGGGCCATTTTGGAATAGTGTGTGGCTACTTGTATGATTTCCAAGTGCTGCCACTATAAAATGGCTGGCCTGAACCTTTCAACCCACCATAAAATTGGTGATTGAGCCAGCATCTGCCATCCTTTTGCATTCCTTGATGCCAGCCCTGGCGTTTCAATGGGCCATTTTGGAATAGTATGTGGCTACTTGTATGATTTCCAAGTGCTGCCACTATAAAATGGCTGGCCTGAACCTTTCAACCCACCATAAAATTGGTGATTGAGCCAGCATCTGCCATCCTTTTGCGTTCCTTGATGCCAGCCCTGGCGTTTCAATGGGCCATTTTGGAATAGTGTGTGGCTACTTGTATGATTTCCAGTGCTGCCACCATAAAATGGCTGGCAGCACTTGGAAATCATACAAGTAGCCACACACTATTCCAAAATGGCCCATTGAAACGCCAGGGCTGGCATCAAGGAATGCAAAAGGATGGCAGATGCTGGCTCAATCACCAATTTCATAGTGGGTTGAAAGGTTGAAGCCAGCCTTTTGTGTGGTGGCAGTTAGGCGGCATTGGAACCAAAATGAAGGAATGCAAAGAAATGGTTTGCCCATCTTCCCTGAGCATGTCTTCACATGGCACAGGGCCGGGCTCCCTTTCAGAGGTTGTGCCCCCACCCGAGGCATCTTTGATCAAATGATCAATGGCTGTGGATAAGAACAACCTGGATCATGGCTGCACTGCAAAAACCTGAACAAATCTGGACAAATTTCAGCTACAACCCTGAAATCACTATAAAGTGGGGTGAGTGACCCCCTGAAGGAGCGCCGCTGGAGGTGCATAAAACAAAATATAGCATACCTTGACCCCTGTCATTTTATAGAGGATATGTTCATGGGTATATTATTATATGTGCAATCCCATCCCCCAAAAAAATCGAGTCCTCCTCCTAGAAACCATAGTTTGGTATCGGACCCCCCAAAAATGGTTTGCCTAAAAATTGGATACCGCAAAATCCTGTGGTTGGACATCGTTTTCCACATCAACTTTCCCATGTGGAGTAAAGCCATTTTCAGACACACCGAGATCATGTCATCATAAATATGTATTCTGTTTGATTATAAATCAACATTTTCCTTGGGTTATTCCCATTACCAGAATCTTACCCATACTCCAAGGCTGGCCATACTCCAAGCCAACATGGCTGAAGCACCCTGAAAGCAGTATGTTGGTCGTATTCGTGCATCCTATGGTATGCGATGAAGCATCGGTATGCGTTAACCCTGTAAGTAACCTGGACAAACTATGTGGAGTACAATGTTTGCACGGTATGCGTTAATTTCGTGGAGGTATGCGGATTGAGCATGCCTATTTCAAGTTTAAGGGTATTGTCCAGGCACTGCCATGATAGGCGATGAAGTTCAGGTACGCGTTCTTCCTGTAGATAGCCTAGAGCCACTATATGTGGAGTGTTGTGGAGTACGATGTTTGCATGGTATGTGTTACCTTTGCGGAGCGCTTTAAATTCGCGGAGTGTGTAAAACTTGTGGAGTGAGTTCCCGCTGTGGAGTACAATATTTGCGTGGCATGCGTTAACTTTCCCAGTTTGGGCGACGAGGGGTCCCCAAGTTTGTTGGTTAATGCATAATATGATCATCACAAACATGGTAAAACCAAGGTAAGAAATAGTTCATCATACAGGATGGCCCCCCCCAAATAGATCTTATAAGTGGCTTAACTATGGTTTATATAGTCTATAGTAGATATAACTATAGTTAATAAATAGATGTTAATGGGGTTTCTAAACCAAAAAACATAACTGGGGGGGCACCATCCTGTACCCTCCGCCAAATCTCAGCTTCCGCGCTATTCTTCCCCTGGATGTCAATTTTGGTCACCTCGACAAACAGATGGAAATTCAGCCAACCATACAAGGTGCGAAGTGACACACACACACACACGCATAACTTGGTTAATGTTTTGGTTTTTGGGGAATATGTATATATATATATATATATTATGTTATATCATATATTGTTAATGGGGGTTATAAACCAACTTATAACTGCCCCTCATTGTATACATAGCAAAGTTATTTGATGGGTATAGAAAGGAAATACAATGGGAATATAATGGAATATGATAGGGATACAATAGGGATAAAACCTCTCCCCACAGTCAGCTAAGTTTGTTTATAAGTAATACAACTGGGGTTGGTATATGTATATATATATATATATTCCTTGTTAGATGGGTCTATAAACTAGCAAACATAGCCGAGGGGCCAGACATGGTAAAAATCTTGCATTTAAGCATCAAATCATATGAGAGATAAACAACTCATTTGACATAGGGCATGACATAGATATCTGAAACTATCTCTCCATAAAAATCTAATGGAAAATCACCATTGTTAACGAGTAAATCCACTGTTTCGACTGGGCCATTTTCAATAGCTTTGTGTATGTTTACCAGAGGGTATGGTGATAGATAAAGAAACTTTTCGCTGAAAGAAAAGCTGACTTTCCTGTGATTCTGTCGTCACGAGTCCAAGTCTTCAAGTCAGGGAGCTACTCCGAAAAGACTCGGTGTCTTGGGGATCCCCCATGACTTAAGACATACCCATATGAGTAGCGGACAAAATGATATGTTACCCTCCGGCAAATCAACATAGACCCTGGCAGATAGGGGTTGGAAAACTGGTTTCCAGTAAAAATTGATTATTTTCAGGGTCTATGTTAATTTACCAGAGGGGAAAATTTTCATGTCATGCGCATATTTTCGTATTTTCCATGAATTTGTCGGTTACTCATATGAACGATTGTGAAAACCCTAGGTTCACGGAAAGGACATCCACAAATTTGAGAAGGTCCCATCGCTTACCACACGTTTGTACAATAATGATATATGGTAAACTTGGGGGGTATCGCTTGCAGGAAACTGCTGCATTTTTATATATATAATGAACTATGAATAATATGTGATATTTGGGTATCGCTAATATGGATATTAAAGAAATATGATGACATAACCTTGAAAAGGGGTATCGCTAATTTGGGAAGGTCCCATCGCTTACCTCGTGTTTTTACCAATTTCCATCAATTTCCATAAACCAATGTCCGTCGAATACATATTTAGTATTGCCGGGGTTTTTACGGTTGCTCATATAGTTTATGAGGCTTCAAACATGTTAACCACCTTTGAACCACTAAACCACAACGGACTTTTCGCATGCCGAGAAATGACCAACCAATCGAACGAAGGTGACAACGCCTTTAGGTCACCTTGAAAAAGGGGGTTGGGATCCCTATGTCGACATACAGTTCCTCAAAAAGGAACGTCACTGGACAACAAATATATAGAATACATAGCCTGGAATATGATACCGCATCTTTTAGTATACTCTATTCATATACTGAATATAATCAATAGCCTGGAATTGGGGGACTATATCCATCATGCTAGAACACCTGAAACGACTGTATAAACTTGTTGTCTTGCCATGCAACGCTGCAAAAAATTCTTTTCTGGCGCCTTCGTAGGCACTAGCCCAAGGATTCTGGATGGCTGGCCCAAGCGGGCATGTCCCGTGGAGAAATCCACATACTTGCCATGGATAGCATCCTCTAAAAGGGTAGAATGCAAATTATTTCTGACCTCTTTTTCCATTGAATTGGATGGAATTGGTGGATTTCACAACATCACAGTTCCAATTCCTTCATCCACAGGTGACATCTGGATAGACAATCAGCTAGGCTAACTCACTAACCAGACTTCTTGCAGTTTTTGGGAGAGTTCCCATCCAATCCAACAACTCCCATCATTCCAAAATCCCTCAAAATCACGCACCCTCTGGTAAACAAACATAGCTAGTGAAAATGGCCATTTATAGTGGATTTACCCATAGCTTTTTGTATGTTTACCAGGCCGGGTCAAATTCTATGCCCCCCCACATTGGTGCAAAGCTTGATATAGGGCATGAGGCCGTACTCCTCACTCACCTGAACTCGGTGACATCGCCAGTGACATGAAAACCATGGTGATTTCACGCCTGAGTTGGGAGGTCTACCTCCTTGATAATTATACCCACAAAAATAAGTACCAGTATATATATATATATATATTATATATGGGTATGGATCAATACCTATTAATACCATCTTTAGTGGGATGGACATCCATTTACCAGCTATTTTGGGGTTCACCAGGGGTACAAGGTTTTGACACACTGCCATATACAAATTATAGATTTATGATATGCATGATATTCATCATCATGTATTTAATACATTTGTCAGTGATCATCATCCCTTAGGCTGGGACATCAAACCATGAAACCTCCGGTCGCCTTGTGGAAATGCTCCAGCAACTCATCGCGCGAAGGCCAGGTGCTCATGTCTTTGGGAACCTGGTCGACATGAGGAATTGAGGATTTGAAGTATCAACATTTACTAAAATTTAGGAGTCAAAGGACGTAGAAATGCTAAAAATCATGGGATAAATACATATGTTCAATTGTGTTCATAGATTTTATCTTGAAGGTCTAGGTACATGAGCAGGATCTCAGCATTGTTTGGGTCACAAATTTGAAAGTTGCAGTTTTCTTGCGGGGCTACTAAGTTCCGCCAAGCCACTTATTTAGTCAGCAGGATCAAACTCTCAATAGTTGGCTCCAAAAAGCACCGCTACAATCTGGGCCCCAGTGATGTGTGTTGCTTTATACGCCCCATGAATTAACTATAGTTATAAGATGTTATAAGTATCATAAATCATGGTGATTGGAGTGATGTTCACCAACTTCGCTATCGTGTTTACGCGGGGCCCAGGCTCAGGCCCTGTATTGGCGAAATCAGTGGGTCAAGCTGCACCGAGCCCCCCGACATCATTGATTTCGTCGAACTGTAAGTGGTAGGTTCCCAGCTCAGTCTGGAGCTTCGAGGTCTTGTTTGCCTCCGGAAAATCACGGGACTTTCAAATCAGGTGTCACCAACCACCCAGTCACTAGCCTCTGGTAATGACTGTTACAGTTTGCTATGGAAAATGGCCCATAGAAATGGTTGGTTTAACTAAGATGGTGGATTTTCAATAGTTTTTTGTATGTTTACCAGCGGGTATGGGGATTGAAATGGATTGAATATGTCTTTAGCGAACAAACACATTGGGATTCAACCAGCCAAACAATGCTTCAGAAATGAGGATTTGGCAGAAAACACTGGGTTACTGATTCAAAGCAAAAGATCAAACCAAGCCTCAAGTGACTCAAGTCCAGTGCTGATGTTAACAATGTTGCTTAAGGTTTTTTTCAGCAACAGGACCCAGTATATCCGATATATCCCCAACACACATGAGTCAACCATGAGTCAAACAACTGTTCTATCCTGACCTGCAGGGACCAGCCAAACGAATCTCTGTTTAAGCCATGACCAGACCCTTAAAATTTTTGGTTGTTGTTTGACAATGTCTCTTTGGATACATTGAGGGTTGATTGGCTGTATATACCCACTATTATTGGTGTCATGTTTACTATTATGCTGGTTATTGTCGAAGGCGAAAAAAGAAGGTTCGTGATGGTTCGTGTCGTCTCCAACAGCCGGGGATCGTCTGCCTCAATTGGGAAACACAAACCTCTTTTGCTTCGATATCGGTTGAGGGACGTGTCAAACAAACTAAACACAACCAGTAGAACTGACAGAGACATACAAACTGCCACTAGGAGCACCAAAGCTTTGAAGACTCGATGGCAAGGTCACCAGCTCCAGGCTTTGGTTGAACCTACCGCCAAAACTCAAGCTTTGAAGGCTCGATGGCAAGGTCACCTGCTCCAGGCTTTGGTTGAACCTACCGCCAAAACTCAAGCTTTGAAGGCTCGATGGCAAGGTCACCCGCTCCAGGCTTTGGCTGTACCTATCTCCAAAACTCAAGCTTTGAAGAGTCGATGGCAAGGCCACCCGCTCCAGGCTTTGGTCGAAATGAATGCCAAAACTCAGAAGACTCGATGGCAAGGTCACCCGCTCCAGGCTTTGGTTGAAATGAAAGCCCAAACTCAAGCTTTGAAGAGTCGATGGCAAGGTCACTCGCTGCAGGTCTTGGTTGAAATCCCTGCCAAAACTCAAGCTTTGAAGACTCGATGGCAAGGTGACCCGCTCCAGGCTTTGGTCGAAATTCCTGCCAAAACTCAAGCTTTGAAGACTCGATGGCAAGGTCACCCGCTCCAGGCTTCGGTTGAAACAGTTGCCAAAACTCAAGCTTTGAAGGCTCGATGGCAAGGTCACCTGCTCCAGGCTTTGGTTGAACCTACCGCCAAAACTCAAGCTTTGAAGGCTCGATGGCAAGGTCACCCGCTCCAGGCTTTGGTCGAAATCAAGGCCAAAACTCAAGCTTTGAAGAGTCGATGGCAAGGCCACCCGCTCCAGGCTTTGGTCGAAATGAATGCCAAAACTCAGAAGACTCGATGGCAAGGTCACCCGCTCCAGGCTTTGGTTGAATGTGAAATGAAAGCCAAAACTCAAGCTTTGAAGAGTCGATGGCAAGGTCACTCGCTGCAGGTCTTGGTTGAAATTCCTGCCAAAACTCAAGCTTTGAAGACTCGATGGCAAGGTCACCCGCTCCAGGCTTCGGTTGAAACAGTTGCCAAAACTCAAGCTTTGAAGGCTCGATGGCAAGGTCACCTGCTCCAGGCTTTGGTTGAAACAGTTGCCAAAACTCAAGCTTTGAAGGCTCGATGGCAAGGTCACCTGCTCCAGGCTTTGGTTGAAACAGTTGCCAAAACTCAAGCTTTGAAGGCTCGATGGCAAGGTCACCCGCTCCAGGCTTTGGTTGAACCTACCGCCAAAACTCAAGCTTTGAAGGCTCGATGGCAAGGTCACCCGCTCCAGGCTTTGGTTGAAATCAAGGCCAAAACTCAAGCTTTGAAGACTCGATGGCAAGGTCACCCGCTCCAGGCTTCGGTTGAAACAGTTGCCAAAACTCAAGCTTTGAAGGCTCGATGGCAAGGTCACCTGCTCCAGGCTTTGGTTGAAATCACTGCCAAAACTCAAGCTTTGAAGGCTCGATGGCAAGGTCACTCGCTGCAGGTCTTGGTTGAAATTCCTGCCAAAACTCAAGCTTTGAAGACTCGATGGCAAGGTGACCCGCTCCAGGCTTTGGTTGAACGTCTTGCCAAAAGTCATGCTTGCAAGGCTGCAGGGGAGATGGTGTAAATATTCTCCATGCGTTGCTCCTTCAAGATGTGTAACACCTTCTAGTGCAAACTCTCTGTCACAATTTGGGAGCTCACAGGCATAACGCCATGCTGTATACACATCAGTTGGTATGTAAGTGCAGGACAGCATTGCGGTTTTTCCAACAATCCCTTGGTCTTCCAAATTTTCATCCAGTGTCAGTTGTCTATTCACGCTATGCACGACAAGCTCATCCGAATTTGCACCAACCTGCGCAGGTCATATCCAAGCATGGAGCGACTGACAGTCAGTGTCACTCCTTCCCCAGTCAAGCACAGCACCTGAAGCTCGATCTTATTCATCTACTGCACCTTTGTCAGCAAATGATGGTTTTAAGTAGCCATGTTGTCACCCATTGCTCGAAATTTACACACGCACCACGAAAAGAGTGTAGCCGAAAGGTCTTCAACGCTGCTTGATTTTTCATCTATGGCCTGTCTTAGACCTAGTTGTACTGTAAAGGTTGTCGGCTGTGTACAAGAATGGGGTACCACAAAATCCAGGAAAATTCCGCACTTTGTCTCATGAGTTTCCATATTAAATCATCTGATAAAAATCCATATCCCTATAATTTCCCACATCCAGTTGTAAGTGGACTAACCCTATAAAAACACTGAGAACTATACTAGTATGTGTATATATATAGGGATCGATATCCAGTAGTTATACCCTCCGGTCACCAAAAGTAGTACTGGAACATCCCCCATTTACAGGTGATTGATGCTGATTGTCTCATTATAACCTCCATTTAGTTCCTTGATTTCCCAGCTGGCCACGTTTGATTACCAGAGGGTAACCAAAACTTGGTGGTAAACACATTCTCCCGTTGAGTGCGCCGTGAATTCAGGTGGCTTTCCTGTAAGGGAATAACTAACTATGGCAACTGTGGTGTTCATGGGGTGAAACTAAAGCATTACAAAAAATAACAGCATAGCCTAGAAAGCAAGCCTTGGCTGTTTCCAACAAAGTACCCTGCTGTAAATGTTAAGGGATCACTTAGAGCACCGGATCACTCCGAACACCATGGGATCACTTAGAGCACCAAAGAACTGGATCACTTAGAGCACCAGAGAATGAGACCTTTAGGACTAGTATTTAAAAAAATAATAACAATAATTACTTTACTTCGTGTGATCCCCACCATGACATTTATACATTTTCTTACTGGCAAATCTTCTGGCATTCTATCTGACATATCTTCTGACATTCTATTTGGCATTCTATCTGGCATATCTTCTGGCATATGTTCTGGCATATCTTCTGGCATATCTTCTGCAATTCTATCTGGCAAATCTTCTGGCCTTCTATCTGGCATATCTTCTGGCATTCTATCTAACATATCTTCTGGCATTCTATCTGACAGATCTTCTGGCATTCTATCTGGCATATCTTCTGGCATATATTCTGACATATCTTCTGGCATTCTATCTGGCATTCTATCTGGCATATCTTCTGGCATATTACCTGGCATTCTATCTGGCATATCTTCTGACATTTCTTCTGGCATTCTATCTGGCATTCTATCTGGCATTCTATTTGGCATTCTATCTGGCATATCTTCTGGCATATCTATCTGGCATATCTTCTGGCAGATTTTCTGGCATTCTATCTGGCAAATCTTCTGGCATTCTATCTGGCATTCTATCGGGCATATCTTCTGGCATATGTTCTGGCATATCTTCTGGCAAATCTTCTGGCATTCTATCTGGCATTCTATTCTGGCATATCTTCTGGCATATTTTCTGGCATTCTTTCTGGCAAATCTTCTGGCATTCTATCTGGCATATCTTCTGGCATATTATCTGGCATTCTATCTGGCATATCTTCTGGCATATCTTCTGACATTCTTTCTGACATTCTTTCTAACTTTCTTCTGCACATTCTTTGTCCCATATCTTCCTACCTGAGGTCCGGCAGGGAACACTTGGCGTGGATACTCGCGGTTGAGGTCCGGCAGGGAACACTGGGCGTGGCTGGTCGTGGTTGAGGTCCGGCAGGGAACACTGGGCGTGGCTGGGCGTGGATGGTCGTGGTTGAGGTCCGGCAGAGAACACTGTGGATCGCGGGTCGCAGTTGGACGAGGACGACGAGGACGACGAGGACGACGAGGACGACAAGGACGACAAGGAGGACGAGGAGGAGGCAGGAGGCAGGAGGCGGCAGGAGGAGGAGGCAACTGACATAAAATCTAACAACTCTCACCTGGCAGGTGGGGAATAATAATCATCATCATGATTGTTGTTATTATACATTATCAAACAGTATTATATAGTAATATACATTATACAGTATATATATAATTGTATGCACATCTATAATACACTAATTGAATCTAAATCATACACTATATCGTTATAGGTAAACAAATATTTAACGTACGTGCACATTTCCAACGAACGAACGACCGTGACCGAGTCATCAACCCCCTTGGCACCTGCGAAATCCAGGAAGTTCCCCCGACCTGCGCGGGATCCAAAATTGTGGACCACCAGTGTGCTGAACATGTGTTTGTTTCGTTTCCAGAGGTACCCTCTGGTAAACATACAAAAAACTATGGAAAATCACAATTTTCAATGGGAAAATCGACTATAAATGGTCATTTTCAATAGCTATGTTAAATTACCAGAGGGTAACTGGTAAAAACACAAACATAAAATTGCTGTGTTGGCGGTATAGGTATATGATTTAGATCTTCTACACAGTCTATGGCCCATGGCAACATATTGGGGATATAGATTGTATGAACATAGGCTTCAAGCGGTTTACCATCATGTTCCCTTCAAAAAAGGTTCATCCCCTCGGCCCTTTTGGGGACAATTTAAACATGTCATCTCACGTCACGTTTCATCTCTCATGGTATCAGGTCATATTTTTCACCCAAGCGTCAGGGTCTGCTCCTAAGTGCCCCCCACAACTTAGACTTACACACCCAAAATTCCAAATGGAGCCTCAAAGCCATTCTTTAAGAGGCAAACCATTTTACACAACAAATTGAAAGTTTCATGTTGGGCAACGGGCAATTTATCATATTCCCTTTTATGTGGAACATGTAAAAACCAGTTTCGGGAGGTTCACCTCCTGTATAAACCGATGAAGAAGTCAGCTAAACCGAGCCGCAGTGCCACCTTGTTTCGGCGATCGACGATGACAAAGTCCTTGAAACCACGCTGCAGCAGGTACAGGCCCTCAGAAAACGGATGGTTGCGAAATCCTGCATCACCAAAAGGATGTTTCAAACCTGATACATAATGGGATAAACCACCTATCAACTGGTACAGGATTTTTTCCATCCAAACTAGATTGAAATAGCCAGGGATTATATACACCAATCCAGGTGGAGATGCTAAATAGTTTCCCGCAAAAAAAAAACAGGATGATTGGTTGGTGGTTGCTTGGTGGTCTTGTTTGATCAACTGTCAATTGGAGAATGAACAACAATTGATAAATATTCGCAGTGAACAAATGGGGAGATGGGAATATGCATTGGGGCAAGTCTTCGATGTTGTAATCCCAACGAAGTAGAGGATTGCCCTACTTACCCAGCGGGAAACAATCTATTATCCTATCAGCAACATGAACCACCAAGCAAGCATAGATCATAGATTATAATAGAGGCTCTGGTGATAAATTTCAACAACCATGGGATGAAATTGGTCACTTTTTCTACAGCGTATTCAAGCCTACATGTGTGCAATCACAAATCAAATTTCATGTATAAAAAAGTCAAACATGACTGAGTTTGTCAAAAATGGCGGGTACCAAGACTTGTGGCTATTCATTTTAGATTTTTGAAACACAATACACTACGGAAAAAATGCGGTATGCTGCGATGTTTTGAAAAAAATGAATGGGACGAGATACCCACTGCTAATCAAACACGGCAATGTCAAATCACCAATTTATAGATGTTTTTTTCCACTCAACTGCCAATTTATAGTGGATTTCCGATTGCCACAATATGGGCCCGCCATAAAGGGGGGCCATATTACATGTTGTTTGCTTCCCCAAGGGCAGTTCTTTTTTTATTTTCAATCGTGTCACGTGTCGCAGTCCGATGTGACCAGCACCGATGATCAGGAAGGGATCAGCGTACCTGCAGCAACTGGAGCGTTTTGGCACTTCAAGGAGCCATCGTTGGAATTTGAGGATGGAGCCTCTCCAGTACCCTCTGGGAAACATACAAAAAACTATGGAAAATCACCATTTTTAATGGGAAAACTCACTATAAATGGCCATTTTCAATAGCAAACTGTTAGTTTACCAGAGGGTACCCTCTGGGAACAGCCGAACATCAGCATGTTTCGAATTGTAAATCAATGGGCCATCCCGCATAGCATTCCATGGCATCCCATGGAAATTTGTTGGTTTGCTGGAGAGTAAACCAACAAGTGAGCAGTGTTCAAAACCCTCCGTACGGAACCATGGAATACTGGCTGCGTACGTAGATCATAGGAATTCCATGGAATTCGACGATGAACATGATCCACGAAAAAAGTTGGATAAAATGATCCTTTCACAATGATCAACAAACAGAGGCTTTGAACACTGCTCAAGCCTCCAAACATACACGCCGAATAGGCCTATTTTAGGGTTTATAATGTATATATATATATAATTATATATATATATGTTTTAATCCTTCATACAGGGGGAACTCTGGCTCGGGAAAATTGAAGCGGAAAAGCCTGGCTGGTGCCACTAACGGTGTCATGTAAATGTGATGTTCACCATCTTTGATAATCCCAATGTTTCATTGTTTAAGACACAATATACAGATAAAGAAACTGGAATTTAAACCACAGCATTGGTCATATTATAACTATGCCAAAAAATAACAAAGTAAAACCAAACGAACAAATAATTGAACCATATTAAAACAATCCTGTTGATCCCCGTGTTTGAACTAAATCATATACCTGGCATACCTGGCCCCTGAAACAAATCAGCACCCGAAACGGCGCACGTCATTTTCTCGGGCTTGAAGCTCTTGATTCCGCCTACCGTGACCTTTCGTCCCACCTGGCAAACCAAATAGACATGGGTCAAATCATTTGATCAATGGGAATTCCAGGATCCTAAAATGGAGGTACTGTGCCATATAATGCCATATTTTGGGGGTATATCCCCTTACATACAAAGGCCTTACATATGGTAGGTACCTCCAATTCAGGTTCCTGAAATGGCCATTGATTTGATACCAACATGGATTTGTCCGAAAACATGGGACCCCCAAAATCTGGTGGCTAACAATCATTTTCCCCTTTATTTTCCCCTATATGCTGCAAACGGGGGGGTTGCAAAATGTAAAACCATAGAAACCACTAACATAGCTCTTGGGTTTCATATGTAAAACCCACATTTGGAGACTAACATAGATATTGGAACATTAATCAGGACCCTTTTAGAAAACAAACGAGGATGTCGTTTTTTTCCCCATCAATGTTGACATCTTCGTTTGTTTTAAAGAGAGTATCATTCTGGGGGGACAAAATTATTCCTATTCAAATGGCCATTTGGTGGTATACCCGATTTCCAGACACACCCATCTGACTGTGGTCTTCGAAGGCCAAGAAAGACTAACTACCTTTCCAAGGTTTCCCCAGAAACACAAAACACATGTTTTTTTTTTATATATAAACCCCATTAGGCAGATCTTGCTCCAGATTACTATCATAAACCCAACAGTGAACTATTATGAACTATTATGAAATATCAGCGAAACAAACCAACTTAGAAAAAAATACTATAAATCCTCATCAATTTGGCAGGTTACGGTTAAGCCACTATTTCTGCTGGTCTTAGTTGAACTTGTTAAACACCAATTTTTTGCCGGTTGTCGTTTCCTGGGGTACCACCCTGTTTTGGGTGGTTATAAATCCAAATGTTCTTTGGCTGTTCCCATCAAATTCTGAAATTTCATTGGTTAATCTGTTAATTTCATTAAATCCTTGGATTTGCTTGAAAGGTCAACAAAAACATGATTCCCTTTAGATTCAAGACGCATGGTTGATGTTCCATTCGGAAAATAAACCAAATCACCGACTAAACAAGAATATGGACCCCATCAATCCCAACATTTCTTTGCTTCATCACGTTAATCCCATGAAATCCCAATCGCTCCATGGTGCTGGAATATGCACAGCAACATTTGCCCGAACAATTTATCACCCAGTCATGTAGGTTTGCATATACCAGCACATACCAGCACCATGGTTTGCATATGGGAATTATCTTTGGCAATTCCCATAAAAATTCCCCATGTTGTTGGCTGGTTAAGTTCCACCCTTCCGCCTCTTCATGATCCAGTTGCTTCCTGGTGGCGCTTGATTTCGTGGAAAATCCCCATGGATTTGGGGTACCCCCATTGACGAAATGGAAGCCTCCAATATGGCTTCTAGTAAGCCTCAAAAAGATAGGGAAAAACACAAATAAAGATATCACCAAATTAAATTGCTAATGTAAACTGATGGACATGCAAGCCAGGAAGCAGATATCGTTTCAATATCTTCGCACGATTGACTATTGTTTTCGTTGCGGTTTTGCTACCGTTTTGTGATATCCTGGGTGCCCCACTGAGTCACCAGTGCCTGATCTTATATACCACTACTTACCACTACCATGATAACATATCTCATTAAATCCGCCCGCCTGCCGGCGTGTCTTGTGGATCTTGCTTGTTCGTAGTTGTACTGTCTGTTTTGTCTTTGTCTTGTCTAGACTTTCCCCTTGGCGCGGATTTTTGCCTTGTCTAACTTGAACCCCCCCTTACGTTGTGGTGGGCTCAACTCTGCCCACGCCTTGCTCAACACCGGCTTGGCTTTGCACATCTTACTGTCATTTTGATGTTTGTTGTTTTTCCGTTTTTTGGTTGTGTTTGCCATCGGTTTGCTCCGTCGCTTCTCATATTCAATACTTGATCCACTGGCTTTTATGCCGAACACCTATTACACGCATAAACTTTCTAAATATAGCCTTTTTCAAAGACGTTCTCAATATGGCCTTTTCCAAAACCCTGGTTTACACACATGCTTTGGTTTAAACTTAAACCGTGGTTTGAACAAAACCAATGTTTTTGCGTCCAAACAATCTTTTACACAAAGAGCTGTTTTACACAAAAAACTGTGTTATCCACAAACACCAAATACAAAAACATACAAAAACCATGTTCTTGCTGGGCCTGTGCAAGGGCTGTTTGCAGCCTACAGGATATATAGCTCTTTCCATGGTGGCCGGCAGAACACGCCGAAGGCGGTTAATTATCAACCATTGCCATGCAGGATGGTGCCCCCCAGTTATAAGTCGGTTTATCAACCCCATTAACTATAGTTATATCTGCCATAAACCATAGTTATGGGAGTTATTTGCACCAACTTAGCTAACGAACTGGGGCACCACCTTGTGATAATTGATGACATTTGATGACTCGTGTGTTTCCTCACCTTTAGGAAAGCTCCAGTCCATCAGAAGTCCGCCGTTCATCCCGCAGCCTCCAACTGCATCCTACGCGATGAACGAAGTGAAGGTTGTCAGTATCGATCCCCAGCCTGGATGTGGCGCAGAAACCACCAGTTGTCCATTCGGAAATGCTCTTCGCCAAAATCCGGGAGTTGAATCATTATAGAAGTGGTGACTTGACTTGCCAAGTAATGATAAGGATCTATAGTTTTTTTTGGTTTATTTTTTCTGAGTTGGTTAAAAACTATTTATAACTATACTATCTATCTATCTGTCTGTCTATCTATCTATCTATCTGTCTGTCTATCTATCTATCTATCTATATCTATATCTATATATCTATCTCTATCTCTATCTCTATCTCTATCTCTATCTATCTATCTATCTATCTATCTATCTATCTATCTATCTATCTATCTATCTATCTATATCTCTATCTATCTATCTATATCTGTCTATATCTATCTATATCTATCTATATCTATCTATATCTATCTATATCTATCTATATCTATCTATATCTATCTATATATATCTATATCTATCTATATCTATCTATATCTATCTGTATCTATCTGTATCTATCTATATCTATCTATATCTATCTATATCTATCTATATCTATCTATATCTACCTATATCTACCTATATCTATCTATATCTATCTATATCTATCTATATCTATCTATATCTATCTATATCTATCTATACCTATCTACATCTATCTATATCTATCTATATCTATCTATATCTTTCTATATCTATCTATATCTATCTATATCTATCTATATCTATATCTATATCTATCTATATCTATCTACATCTATCTATATCTATCTATATCTATATCTCTATCTATCTATCTATCTATCTATCTATCTGAATTATATAAGTGCCTTAAGCGGGTTTATGGCAGAGATATCTTATGATATCTCATATAGTCAAAGGGGGCTATAAACCCACTGCATGGGTCAAGCCATTGGGAGATCGAGAGTTTTTGATACTTGGCGTCACCCTCTGGTGATTTAACTTTAACATAGCGAACTGGAAAATTGTCCTGTTAACGATGATTTATGATGATTTACCTATCAAAAATTGTGATTTGATGATTGTGTCCAGTTCGCAAACCGCTAAATAACCCGAGGGTAAGCCCTTCAATGCTCGGTTGATGAGATTTTGACTCATACCGTCATACCGTTTCATGACCACATTATTCGTTTGTGCCCTGCTTGCAGTCTGCACTTCCATTCGGCTTCCAGGTCATGACGTCATAGTCCGAGGCATGCCGGTGCCATGATCTGCAGTGAAAAATATGTTCAACATTAATGTTCACCAACCAAAAAGCAACAATTGATAGGGATGACTTTGCTTATCATCATGTTGATTTTGAACGGACGTATTTTTGGCAGGTAGGTCGCACAATGTGTTGCTCGTGTGTTGAGGGCCAGGATGATGAGCAAAGGCGACATTCCTGGGGTAAACCAGAAATAGTCTGGACAATGTCTGGACTAATTAAACAAGTATATGACTTGGAGATTTCTTAAAATGGGATTGCCCCCAAATCATAGAAATTCATTAGACCGTTTTAGTATTGAGACCCATTGTTTTGGGGGCACCATGGGTTATAGGAAAGCTCCACGTAAGGTTAGCACAACGAGGTAGCCTGTCTACTTGCCCAACTTTGTTGTCAACAACAACACTACTATTGCTACGGATATCTACCTGGTTGGTGGTTTCAACCCCTCTGAAACATTAGTCTGTTGGGATGATTATTCTCAATATATATATGGAAAAATAAAAAATGTTCCAAACCGCCGACCAGCTACAGATACAACCTCCACACAATTAACACCATGCTTTTAATCCGAGTATAACATAAAATGATAATTTCGACCTTGCAGCACGCCAGGAGGTTTGTGTGTACATACATATACACTGGTTGGTTCCCAGCTCCCTGAGCAAAAGTTTAACTTCTAGTCATCAGGTATAAACTACCATGATCCCCAAAGAAACTAAAAGTCTAAGAGTCTAAGGGGCTGGGAACCATTATGTATATATATATATATATATATGTGTTATTATGTTACACATACATAACCCATTTGTAGCTGTAACTCGCCGCCTCCGCTTGCCCCGGGCCTCTGGGACAAGTACTCCTTGAGTTCAATGACTTTAGTACTGGTCACCACCGGCAACGTCAGGCTCTGGGCGAGGTCTTTTGTGGATCCCTTGGATTCAGAGATCTATGGGCTGGGAAATCTGAAAATGGTGCCCCCCCAGTGATGTGAATGTTGGTTTATAAGCCCCATTAAGTATAGTTATATCTGCCATAAACCATAGTTATGGGAGTTATAAACATGTATACCCGGCCTGGTAATTTAACGTAGCGAACTGGAAAATCACCACCATTTTGAATGGGAAAACTACCACTATTTCGACTGGGTCATTTTCAATAGCTACGTTAAATTACCAGAGGGTAAACCCCCATGAAAACAAATCCAATAACTATATATAGTTATTGAATGATCACTAAAATGATCAATGGGAGATCTCCAGGATCCTAAAATGGAGCTACTGTCTGCACCATATTTTGGGCCATAGAAAAAAAGGGGGTACATCCCCTGAAATAGCCCTGAAACATAGATCTTATATATGGTAGGTACCTCCAATTTAGGTTCTTGAAATGGCCATTGATTACATGGTTTTATGAGGTTTATAACTGGGAAAAGTACAGATGGAGGACTTTTCCATTGAATGGAAGTATCTAGAGACTGCATTGACGCATCAAAACTGGTATGTTAACCCATAAGTCCCCATAAATTGAGGATATTCACATATATTCACCAATTGTTTATAGCTACTTTGAGTTCCTGATGTTTCTGAGCGCTTCTGAAAAAAATTGACTTAGCCATCCACAATGGCCCACCAGGTTTCGATAATTTACCCCTTGAACATTTGGAGAATTCTCCCTGGTGTTGGATTTTGGATTACGGCAACGACGCGCCGTGGATCCCGGCGGATCCCATTCATCAAATTCATATTTTTGGCAACGACCATACGTTGGATCTCTCCCAGAGTGATCCGCATGAAGATATTTGCATGTTGATCATTTGAAGATATTTGAAGTCAGTGGCTTAAATTAATATGGCTGTGTCTGAAAAAGGAAGATACCTCTGCAGCCATCCTAACAGAAAATTATGATGATCAACCAGTGAGTGGATTTAGGATGGATTTAGGGACATTCCATTTTCAGAGACACCCTGAACAATGTCGCAAAAATCCACATCAAAAATCTCGGCCCAAACACCATTTTTTCGCAGGGTAAAGTCCTCATGTTTGCTGCTTGAATCCTCATTTCTGCTATACAGTTTAACCACCTGGATTTTTTGCTGGTCAATTGACCAAAAGTGCTGGCCGGTCAAATCCGAACGTTCACCGGAGAATTCCCATTCTTGGCTGGCTACATATTGGTTTTTAGCAATACCCACCAGTAAATTAACATAGCCCCTGGCAGATAGGGGTTGGAAGATTAGTTCCGTTAAAAATTGATGATTTTCAGGGTCTATGTTTATTTACCAGAGGGTAAATCAACATAAACCAACCATATTTTGACAGTTTATATCACCAATGGATGGTAAAGTGGCAACGTTTCAACCTTTGAAATCACTGCACAGTCTGCACCAATGGATTCGAATGAAATCCAGTCGGTACCAGCCTCGGTAGAGTTGAGAATCCGCAGTTCCGTTTCAACCTGGGAGGCTGTGACGCTTCCACCGGTCGGAGGGTATAGCTTTTGGAAACCCAAACACAAGGAGGTTCTGAACTATAGTTTTCGGATTTTTCAAGATATACTGGTTGGTGGTATACATACCCCTCTGAAAAATTAAAGTCCGTTGGGATGATTACTTCCAATATATGGAAACATTCAAACATGTTCCAAACCACCAACCAGGAACATATCCCATTGCTATCTTTGAGGGTAAATCATCGATAAATGTGACACTCCCATCTGGTTGGTGGTATACCTACTCAGAAACACTGTTGATTCACGGATGTAATTTAAGATATACTACTATCCGTTACTCATAGGTATACCTATCCGTACGACATGTTGAATTTAAGAATCGGCGGATTTCAAGAAACATGTTTTTTTTTCACGTTCAGAATCACTCACTGCTCAACTGGTTCGAATCTTTACCATGGTCTGAGGAGTCAGAATGACCGATTCATTCCAAACAATTTTGAAAAAATACACCAAACAAGTCAGAGTCGGAGACAACCTGTTATATACAGTGAACCATATATCATATATATATATATATGTCAGATATTCAAACAAAAACAACCTGTTATATATATATATATGTTATCATCCATATATCGGCACATTTATTGGCACTTTGACACCCAGATCACCCAGTGAACCTCCAGCTACTGCCCACAGGATCTGCCATCCATTCACATCCATCTGCCAGCATTTTCCAAACCGTTTTCCCACTACAAGATGGTGCCCCACAGTTAGCTAAGTTGGTTTATAAGTCCAATAACTATGGTTTATGGCAGATATAACTATAGTTAATGGGGTTTATAAACCAGCATTTTTTCCTGGGGGGCACCATCCTGTATTTATCCATCCCATGTTTTTTTTTGCCAACTGTATAACCACTATACCAACATATACCAGCCATTCATCAACCATCAACGCTTTCCTCCTTTCTTCGCGGTCTCGCCCAAGGACCGGCGTCTGGCTCGCCGGCTGGATGCCTGGGCCCAGGATCTTGTATTGAACCTCGGCGGCAACGACGGCGTCTACGACTGGGCCTTCTGTGGCGAAAAATTGAAATGCATGGACGAAACCATAAATTCACCATAGCTTGGGTATATGCATATCAAAACATAGTATAAATAAATATATATATATATATATGTTACATATATATATATAATTTCAACCGAGTCTGATGCATTTACCTGCGGGCACGGTTGTTCAGAACCTGATGCTTATCCCAAATTATTTTTCAGAACCTATATCTGCCAAAATCCAGCCAGACATGGCAAATTTGCCCACACAGCAATTTATCAACTGTACTGCTTGCAATGGGTTGATTTTAGAAAGGTCAGCCACAAACTGAGTGGCCTTGATGTTGGACCCGATGCTTGTTTCCAAGTGCATTGATTGAAACTGGGTTTTGGATGGTTTTGGTGGAGCACTGTGTGTTTAGTTCAGTGATTCCGGTATGATACGTTGCAGGGGCAGTGGGGATACGAATCAGGTTATTTTAAAACTTCAGAGTAGCAAGCAAACACATCTTAAATTCTAAATCCCAGATGCTCCATGTATGGAATATTTACCTACATAACTGGGTTATTTTGGGGGTTTCTATGTAGGTGTGTATATTCCAGCACCATGGTTCGCATATTAGGGAATAAGTACTAGCTTTTTCCAATTCGCCAACAAACCTCGGCCACATTGGCCACATGCTGAATATCATCATTTACGGCGTCACCTGTTTGCCACAAAACTCTGTGTGGATTGGTGTTGGTGTTGTTTGTTTTGCATTACTCTCGTTATATAAAATGAAATGTACCAGTATACTGCATACCGTCTATACGGTATGATGGGAGGCTGTGCTGCAATAATCTGAATATAATCTGTATAATCATTCTTGTTAGCGAAGCAGATTCAGATAGGCAGCAAATAGGCATTGAAAACTAGTGATTGGTTTGTTTTGATAACTGATAGCACTTTATTAAGGTCATTAATTAGGAGTCATGAGAACTTAACTTTTGAATATGCCGTAACACATGCATGAAGACATGATTCGTATGAAGATAACACTTGTTTGATAATGAACGACTTAAGTGAATAACCTACTAGTACAGGCAGTTTCCACTTAAAAAAAAACAAAAACATACTTAGTGACATGTCGCTCACTTTATAAAATAACACCAAAGAAAACTGAACAGTTTCAAGTTAAAACGTGCAAGTAAGTTATATTTTCATTTTTTTTACCGTACTATATACAGTTTTCACTTTAACACATATAACTTATAACTTACAATTTTACCCTTGCACAGTATTCAAATTCAACAGTTGATGTCATATACATCGCATACGTTCCGCGTTCGCCGAAAGCCCCAGGATGCATTCTGTGGATTGCCACGGGCTGTGTCAGGCGCGCTTGAGTGCATGTGTGGCCTCAACAGGCGCCCACATCTACCAATATCTATTTTATATCTTCCCAAGCTTGAGGGTCCTAGGAGTAGATCCCACCTCAGAATAATTTCAGATATTCCAAGGTGGGGGTACTACTACACCAATTATGTAAATACAGATACATGTAAATATAACTTGGGAAGGGGAACACAAAAGGTAGGAAGCAAAAATGACGGACAGGTGTTCAAACAGCAACACTGCAGGTTCGGCCGAAGAGCTGCGACCTTCTGCGTATAAAAGTTTCTCTGTGCACAAACCTCTCTGTGTAAGAACATGTGCGGATAAAAGCTTCTCTGTGTAAAGGCTGCTGTGCATAACGGCGTCTGTCTGTAAAAAAGGGTCGAGCATGGTGTCCTGTAGAATGCTGAATGGGAACCCGAAGGACAAACAAAGAAACCTGGATATCTCAGTGTCGTCCATTACAGCATTCGTTATCTGGAAGGGAAACGGCAGGAACGGGAAAAAACTATTTGCCTTTTTTGGGGTTTTGGGGGCGGGGGAGAGGAAAACTTCTTTGTGTAAAAGCTGTTCTGTGCAAAGGTTTCTCTGTGTAGAAGCTTCTGTGTGTAAAAGCGTCTGTGTGTAAAGGGGCCTGGGCGTAAATGCTGCGCTGTGCACAAGCATCTTGGTGCATCGGTGTGTAAAAGTTTCTGAGTGTAAAAGCCTCTTTGTGTGAAAGCCTCTGTTTGTAGAGGCGTATGTGTGTAAAAGCTGCCCTGTGCATAAAAAACCTGTGTAAGAGCATGTGCGCACAAAACTGCTCTGTGTAAAGTTTGCTGTGCATAACGTCCCTCTGTTTAGAGAAGCGTATCTGTGTCAAATGCAACATGTCAAAAAAAAACATGTAGAAAACAAATCCAAGCTCAAATGCTTGCTGTTGTTATATGTTGATGATGGCGGTGATGCGCGCAGGGCCCCTTTCAGGCGTCAGTTTGGCTGTGTTTACCCAATGTTTGAAGGCCTTCAGGACAAAAATCACCTTAAATATTAATGTTGTTGGTGTCTTCGCCGGAGCGTGGGCGCTTCAAAAACATTGAAAAAAGCAACCAGTTGTAGATGCTGTGAAAAATTGGTGTTCCAAAAAGAAGTCCATTGGTTTTCCATGTGTCAACTGGGAGATTGACTCATGAAATCATCAAGGATTCCTTGCTCTTCCATGGATTCAACGTGAATCAAACACCAAGTCATCAAGTGTCCCTCTACAACAATATGGGTAATCCAAACAAAAAATGCTTCTGAATCCAATCAACATGAATTGAATCAACATGATACAACCTGAAACTATTTTGAAGATATTTTGAATCCATTGTGTCCTTAGAAGTGCAACGAGCCTCAACGAAGCCACCGAGGATCCGTGCCATGTAGACCTAGCGGCGCCGGGGGCGCCGACCTGCGCGGTGCCAGGAGTTCGGCTGTGCCAAGTTTGGCTGTGCGAAACGCAAGGAATGACATGTACTTAGATGGGCCATGGAGTTAGTTAACTGGTTATAGTAAGTGGATTATAATTGGGATATATATATATATATAGGGGGTAACAAATCCCCAGTTACTAACCAGGAATCGCTAATCCCATGGCCCATCTAAGTACTGACATCTGGTTGGTGGTTTTTTGCCTACCCCTCTGAAAAATCATGGAGTTCGTCAGTTGGGATGAAATTCCCAATATATGGAAAGTCATAAAATTCATGTTCCAAACCACCAACCAGTATATTATTGGCGTGATTTTACTAAATATGCTGCTAGGGCATATACCAAAATGTAATATATAATCATGAGTGATCGATACAAGATTCTATCACTAATCTATACAGCCACAATCCAAGGGCCACTGTCACTGCTGGACTTCACAATTCCATGTGCTATGATCTGAAATTGTATTGTAAAAGCGAACAAAAAAAACACGTGGGCCTTTCCTGTTACGTCAGTCGGATTATAAATCCATTTTGCCAATTCATGTCTTTTGGATATATATCTACCATAATTCTACCATAAACCCTGATGAAATATTCGTGAAATAAACCAACAGAGCTACCCCCATCCCAAGCGTATCACGTGTCCAATTCCTGGGATGCACATCGTGGAGGTTTCCTAAAATGGGGCCCCAACTTTCACCATGGTTTTCAAGTCGAAAAAAAAGTCAAATGTTGGACGATTTCAGGGTACCTCCATGGCTTAGAAAATCTCCAAGCCCTATGGATCCATGGCCACTGTCTGAGAAGGTACTTAACCCTCCAAATTATAGTAAATTATACCCCAGTCCCACTTCCTAAGAAGATACGACTGGATCCTAGAAGTAGCAACTCTCCTTTCCACATCGATTCACAGATCCGATCGGGCACACGTGAGCCAGGTCGTTGGCGCCATCCAGTGACACCTAGCGGCTCTAGCGCCAAGCGGAAACAGGTTGTTTCTTCATAAGCCAAGCACGTGGTAATCCATGTATAAATAGTACATGTGTTGGTTTATATATGTTTATATACTAGGTTTAGATTTGGTTTGTATGTAATGGTTGGAACCTACAACATGTAGGTTACATGTCTAGTATAATACCCTATAGATATATCTCTACTATATGGTGTATGTATGTACACATCTCACAAGAGATTGTCTGACAATGGGGTCATCATCCTTTTCCCACTTCCGTTACCATTTGGTACATTCCGATTTGGGGTGGATATTTTCGGACAAACACAATCTAACAAATAACTATCAGCATGTGTCAGGAGCCTCCCAGCTGCAACATTCAATCATATTCAATCGATGTTCTCATGGTGTCCCAAGTGGTTACCTCATTCGAAGGTTGACCAGGAGAATGAAGAATGGTTCATATATGTTCATATCATGCTTACCAACAGAGCACATGGTATATCAAAGCATCTAGCATCCATTAAAACAAAAAAATAACTTGAAGGCCCGGGCCCAGCTCGGTTAGTCTCTCGGACTTCCTATGGTCGTACCTGACTGTTTAGCTAAACATGGTATAACTCCAGAAGACCACAAGGTGGTGCCCCAGTTCGTTAGCTAAGTTGGTGCAAATAACTCCAATTTCACTATGGTTTATGGCAGATATAACATGATATCACTATAGTTTTCATGGGGTTTAAAAACCAACAAACATCACTGGGGGGCACCATCCTGCATGAGAACCAGTTTTCAAAACACAACTAAGACCGTCCCAAAAGTGGCTGGAGATTTGGGATCGCGACACCATCCCCACTGATCGGCCCAGGACCGCCTCACTTGCCACGCGCGTCTCGGGCTGCATCCATGTGATGTTTGAACCAGGCAGACCAGGAAGGAGTGCCACTTGAATGTGTCAGGCCAAGTTTGACTAAGACAAAACATGACCATGCATGAAATCAAACGCACTCTGAACGCAACCCTGGGCAAACATATATCTCACCAAAACTAAACAGTGTTGCAAAACATGTTTTGACGGGGCCGTTCACTCCATTTGGAGTATATAGATTGGATATGGGAATGTTGTCGGTCCCTACTGACTTGTTTGCATCACATATCCACTTGAAAGCTGTTTGGGAACAATGGGATAATTTCTATATGACAAGGGTAAACATATTTAGTTCGTGTGTCCGTCCCAATGAAAAACACATGAAGACGATGGTCACATTTTAGCCATGTCGTTTGTCATGTCGAAACTAAAACATGACATGTACGTACATACGTACAATGTACGTAATACATACGTATGTCAGCATGTATGTACGTATGTATGTATTATTTAATATTATTTATATATAATGGAACAAATGGCACATATCTATATACATGCATGCACAAATAACCATGCTACAATATCTGTATATGCATAGACATGTAGCGTTACGTTGACCACTTGCCATTGGACTGGTAGACAAAGAATGGATGGAGTGGAGGAATGGAATCAATATAGATATTGGCCGATTAAGCGAAGAAAAAAGGTTGGTTTGATCAGCATAATTTGGTGATGGAAGAATTTGAAAGCACGTCATTGATCATGATTTCAGAGCGTGGCTAGAGTTCCCAGCTCAGATGACCATTCCACTTGTGCCCGTGTCTTGACTAAGGTTGTGGCCCATATATCAAAGCGTACTTACTAGTTAGGTATCATCGGGATCATCATTCAACCAGGCTAGGATAGAACATGACTAATGATAATTGCAAGCACCAAGCAGATTAATTTGGAAAGCTTTATACCTACTATTTCTGGTGATGTCATGCAATGTCCATTCAATCTGCTGGTGATAGCCCACTTACTTCTTGCTAATACTCCACATTGTTTGGCTACATAATACTGGATGTTTTATCATCCACTATCATGGCTCAGGTGGCAAAAATGTTGTTTCAACACATCCTAGCAACTTGGTATCAACAATGTCAACCATGTGGACAGTTTCTTGCGCAAGAAAACAGGCTGAAACTTAGCTTAAGAACAAACAAAGAAAAACATACCCCCGGATCCACTGCATCCAATGGACTCTGTCCAATGTACTTTTGTTTTTAAAAAAAATATGGTTACATATATATATATATATATATTATATTGTTTGATGGTTTTAATCATCTTGAAACATATTAGTCAATGGGAAGGATTATCCCATATATTATGGAAAATAAAAAAATATTTGAAACCACCAACCAGATTATATATATGTATGCTGTATATCCATTTTCCTATATTAATATTATATTTTCTCAGAGGGGCCGCCCATGGCGGCGTGTCCTTTAAGTAATCAGCCATGCATTTGCCTATAGATTCTCAACCATCGCCATTGGAATTCCTAAAAATTCATCGAAGTCAATGTGTTTGACGACCTGAGGTGAAACACCCTCCATGGTAACAAAAAGCTATATAGAAAATGCTGGTGATTTTCCATGAGTTTAAAACCAGTTTCCCTGTAGCGGCAGCCCAGCTTTTTGAAGCAAAAAATCTGGGGGATTCCCCGTGATTTCACGATCCACGTGGGTTGAATTCGTTGGGAGATCCCCAAGTGCACCTCACTTCCGCCCTGAAGGCTTCGGAGTCGATCACCGCATGCGACCCATGCTCCAAGATCTGCGCTTGGCACCGATGGCCGCGATGGCCATGGGAAACCCTTCGGAGAATGATCTACAAATGGAGGCAGGGCCTTCCACATCTATTCATCAGAAAAACACGGTAGGGGGTGCCCACCCAGTCATGTTTATTGGTTTATAAACCATAGGAATAGTATAGATATATCTACCATAAAGAGTTATTTGCACCAACTTAGCTAACCATGGGGCACCACCTTGCAGGAAGGCATATGTAACTGTTGGGTTAATGCTGATGAAATACATCTATAGTTACGATTAGTTACGTATGTTAGATGAAACGAAAACACTACTTAGAACCCATTACCCATGTTTAGAATCGAACATGAATGAAAACCCAACTTGGTAATTTTGAAGATCTGAACACCATCCATTTTTGAAGATCGGACATAGCTATGACCCCTACGACCCATATTCGTGTCACCCCACCCATAGATCCACATGAGTTGCAACACGTGGACGACTTGACGATCACTGCCATTACGGGTCAAGAGGTTCGAGAGGTTCCAGAGATCAGCGTCATTTAGGTTCTGTGAAGTGATATACAACTATCATATGGATGGCTTTTATACCCATAGAATTCCGACAAGTACTCCGATTCAGGTGACCTTAAGCAGCAAATCATTGATATAAGCAGCACATAACTATATAGAAACAGTGCCAAACTTGGTAGTTTCAAGCCACCCAAACATATCAAAAATGATAGTTGCTAATCAATGGGGTTGTACGATTGGTAAGGATTGGATTTCGTCCTGTTCCGAGATCGTCGAATTCGCACCTGGAACGAACAACTGGGTAATGGAAAACAAATTACAGTAATTATACCGTTTACCATGCAAATTCAAATTCAATGGGAATTTCAGGATCCGAAAATGGAGGTACCACCCATATATAAGGCCTGTGTAAGGCCTAAATTTCAGGGGATATACCCCCAAAATATGGCCAAAAATATGGTACTAACGTACCTCCATTTTAGGATCCTGGAGATCTCCCATTGACAAATGAGCCTACTGTCATCCATATCTTCGCCATGTTTTCAACACAACTTTATGGTAATCCACTGTCATCCATTTTTGATGGGATTCCTGATACAGCTGGTATACTTGGTACATTAACCCCATGAAAATGAGGGATGACCATCCCTGGTTGTGGAACACAAACGATCTACAAATCATGTTTTGACCATGGCACTCTTTATGGTCCACTTCTGTCTTCGATCTATAGTCTATATCAATACGAATCAAACTCACTGAGTTTATCCCTCTGGTAATCAAACATGACTTGCTGGACAATGTTTTCGTTTGCGGATGATTTTCCATAAAAAAGCCTGCATTTAGTTCGGATTTCTTCCAGCTAGCCATGATTGCCGTATGTTTTTCAAATGTGTAAAAACACCCCCAGCATGTTAAACGGTCACTGCCTCGGAATTTTTAAAAAAAAAACTTTGATGGCCGGAAAAAACCTCCAAATCTGCCAACCAAAAAATGTATCATTGAATACGAATGTCAACCCCGGATTCATAAACTATAGCTGCTTGGTGGTTTTAAACATCTTGAAACATATGAAAGTGAATGGGAAGGATGATCCCATATATTATGGAAAATAAAAAATGTTTGTAACCACCAACCAGCTATAGCTTATGAATTAGGGGGTACTTCCCCAAGAGTCATAATCTGATACTTTTTTCTATGCGGGAGTGTCCCGCAATTCACGACAGGCTAATCATGTTGTTGCTTAAGTATATCACATACCGCCCACCCTATCCCTATCACAATATTGCAGCTGACTTACTCCCATCTTTGTCGGTTACCTCCCCACTGCCACATATGACCACAATTTCATTGCGCCGCCGCACCTGTGTAAGCCATCTTTCGCAATTGAGGCGCTCGCGTGGATATTCATAGCGATCCTGACGAGTGATCCCTGGGAGCTTCACAACTGATTCCTTGCTCCGATCATTCCACCATGGGTTTCTGTGAGCTGCATATTTACTATGGGGGAACGAATGCTATGTGAACTTCGATGCTTTATTGTTTTAATGTTCTTGCAAAGCAATAGCAGAAATGGATACAAAGACAACAAGAACACATCGTTTGTCCGCGTCAGAGGTCAGAGTCATATGTCAATAATGGAATTGCAACCTTTTCCCACCCCGAACTTGAACAGTGAATCAATGAAGGGTCCATATATGGAGGTGTCCTAAAGTAGGGGTACTCCCAAATCATCCATTTAAAATCATTTACATACGTCCATTACCAACCATTTTGGGATACCTCCATTTATGGAAAGCCCAAATCCACACGCGC